TAACCCCCCCTGCTCCCTGTCCCCTGACCTGCCCCATCCCCTATCCACACCCCCGCCCCCTGGCAGCCCATCTCCTATCCCAATCCCCCCTGTTCCCCGTCCCCTGCCCCCCCCGAACCTCTGCCCCCTGACTGTCCTTGAAGACCCTCCGGCCCCCTTACCATGCGGCTCAGAGCAGCATGTCTGGAGCCGCACCTCCTGGCTGAAGCCAGACACGCTGCCACGCTGCCCTGCATGAGCACACAGCCCTGCTGCCCTGAGCGCTGCCCGCGTGGCGGCATGGCTGCGGGAGAGAGGGAACAGTGGGGGAGGGTCCGGGGGCTAGCTGCCCAGCAGGAGCTCAGGGGCCACGCAGGATGGTCCTGCGGGCCGCATGTGGCCCGCGGGCTGTAGTTTGCTCACCTCTGCGCTTGGTGCAGGGGAGGCTGTGTTGGCCAACAGCTAACCATGGATATCTGTGTCAAATGAAATCAAGATTTACTGACCAATGACTTAGATTGAATCCTGACAAGCCGAGTTATAGTTAAGGTGCAGCAGAGCACTTTATAATTTTTAAAACAAGGTATAATCACAATGCCTTGGCCCTGCAGTCAGCTCTAGTCCTAAAACTGGAATATCAGACTACTCCACTTTGCCTTTTGCAGGTCCTCTGCTCTCTTTAAAATGTATTTCAGAGTACAATGGTCAAGAGAACGAGTGATTAGGAGCACTTGTTTGAGACAGGTAGAAGCTTACATAATGCATCTACTTCTATGGGATGTACCTTAATATAAAGCTGCACCCTACTTGCTATTAGGGATGTAAATATTGTTAAAAAATTAACTGTTTAAACAATTAAAATATCATTTAAACGGTTAACTGATTAAAGGGAGAGGGGCTGTGGTTGCTCTGGCCGGCAAGGTGGGGGCTGGGGTCAGTCAGCCGGACATGGGACTGGGGTCAGCTGGCTGGCCGGTGGGACAGGGACAGGGACAGGTGTGGCCGGGGAGCCAGTGGCTTGCCGGTGCCACATGACTGGAGGTTAACAGTTAAGGTTGTTTAACTGGTAAGCCTAATGCTTACCGGTTAACATTTTACATCCCTACCTGCTATTGTATTTCTGGGCCACTTATAACTGTCAATCATAAAACTGGAAGGGACCTCAAAAAGTCATCGAGTCCAGGCCCCTGAAGTCAAGGCAGGACTACGTAATAACTAGAACACTCTTGACAGGTGTTTGTCTAACCTGTTCTTAAAAATCTCCAGTGATGAAGATTCCACAGCCTCCCTAGGCGATTTATTCCAGTGCTCAACTACCCTAACAGTTAGGATGTTTTTCCTAATACCCAACCTAAACCTCCCTTGCTACATTTAAGCCCATTGCTTCTTGTCCTGTCCTCAAAGATTAATGA